CCTTCAAGGCTCAGGGGTCCAAGATTATCTTCTGTGTCTGTGTTAATTGGTTTCCCTTTTCTTTGTTGAAGAGGGTCTGTGCAATCCTTCTGCGTAGTCCACCATCTTGCCCCGCCTCTCCTGTATGAGATGCATTTTTATGTACCTCATTGGCAGCCATCAAATGTCTATTGGTGGAGGCCTGCATGTTGCTATGATGCTGAACAAGTCTCACCAAAGCTTCCAGACTAAGGTAGGCTAGGAAGGAAGGTCTGGTGATCTACTTCTGAAAATAAGCCAATGAAACCCTATGGATCACAATGGTCTGATTTTCAAGAGATCATGTGGATGGCAATGTTTCATTCCATTGTACAGAGGGTCACCATGATTTGGAGGCCATCGAGATGGCAGCTAACAACAACAATATGAAAACTCTGCTCTGACTCAAACCCACTTGAAAAGATGTAAATACAGACTTTTACCCCTTAAAGAAACTGCCTTGGCTTACCTGTCAGGAAATGTCCTATGGGCCAACTACCTGCACACCTACAACAGGCTTCAGCTGCCTCCTCTTAACAGTCTATTACAAAGCCCTGCAATGGTATAACTGCAGGCATTTACTATATCTAATTATAGCAAGAGTTTTAAATTATTTTTTTCTAGCTATTGACTTTTAAACACATTTAAAAAAGAGATGCTATTGGCTACAGGAGGCTATAATAGTAACATTCCAGGCATATGGCACAGATTTTATGTGCTTCACCTATGGCAACCCAAAGAACCATAATAATAAACATGGTTATCTCTTGTGCTGGGGAAGATGTAAGTAGATGACTAGTCCTTTTAGAGACATCGCCTCCTTTCCCTTTTCCAGGGATTAAGTTTATAATCTTTTTCTCAAATATAGTTTGGCCTGGTTTATAAAAAGTGCTCACAATCAACGTAAACAAAGGCAAACCTTTAAATGTGACTGTGATCACTGGAATTCAGTTCAAAGATCCCTGCTTAATAAAGCACCTGGATCAAGTACGAAACAAGAAGATCAAATGCAGGCCACAATGAACAATCAATGAATTTTCTAACGCTCACTGATCTAAAGCCAGAATATTCAGTTAATTACTTGCTACTACCTGCAACCAGGACTTTGAGCAACTTTGTGATAATTTTACAATATTTTTCTATTCAATATGCACCTGTATCTAAAATGGGGTGTGCAGAGCTATTAAACTCAGCTGGTTTTCAGCCCCAATTAAAGACAAGGGGGCTCGTGTCTAATTGCAAAGCAGCTTACAAATGCCTTTGAGTACTATTTCTCACTGATCATGTCCTCAAATAATGTGAAACAGGCTAAAGGGAGTCCTGGGATGCAATGGTGGGAATCTTTTGAATTCCTCAGTTTGGGAATATGGACAAATTTGCTTACATTAGACGGTTCTAGATACACAATGGATTGGAAAATGCAGCATTTAAAGGAAAAAAAAAAATGCACTAGAGAGATGCCTTTAAGGGTATCTGTCCAGCTCTCTAGGATCACCCATCTCTGGAAACTTCTCCTCTCCCCCAAATACATAAGGACAAAGTTGGACTGGCCTGGGTTCATAGTGCCGCTCTACTACTCCCTAACTGGGCCCCCAAATCCTTTAACCTCCTTTCCCTTGGTATCTTTATCTGTAAAATGGGGATTATATTCCTAGCATTGTTGTAAGGATGAAATAAGATAATACTTACAACAGCACCTGGCATTTAGTAAATAATAAACGTTAGACATTATTTCTAAGGTGCTCTGGTGGCATAGTGCCTAAGGCATTTGATTGCTAAACAGAAGGTTGGTGATTTAAATCCACCAGCCACTCCACAGAAGGAAGAATGGGCAATCTACTTCTGTAAAGATTTACCGCCTCAGAAATCCAAAGGAGGTTACTATGAGTCAGAATCGACTTGATGGCAGTGAGTTTTATTTTCTTTTTCAGCCATTATTTCTTAGTTCCATGTTCTGGGCCTACCTGACCCATGCTGGAACAATTAGATTTGGGATGGAAAGCTGGAATTAGGATGAAATTAGTGTTTCTGAGAGGGTTAACATGCAACATGTAACCTCAGTATGTTTATTTTCAGGTCTGAGGAGCAGAGGCCAGTCTTCAAAGAGGAATATAAACTGTCTCAATGGGAGGAAGAGAGTCCACTCTGGTTTCTCATCACTTTCCCTTTTCTGTGTCCAATCCTGTGACAAGACTGACTGTCTTCCTGCCTTTGGCTTTCATGAGACACCCATATGCTTAAAGAAAAGAAACCTTTTTGTCTAACCACAAAGGTTTTGTCTGGTGCCACAGAAGAAAGACCTGGTGATCTGCCAAGAAATTAGCCATTGAAAACCCTATGGAGCACAGGCCTACTCTGACACTTATGGGGCCGCCATGAGTTGGAATCGACTCCACGACAAGTGGTGTTTGATTTTGCTTCGACTAACTCCAGGAACCTCTTACTCGGTTAGAGTTCCGGCCAATACAGCTAAGCTGAGAAGAAAGAAGAAATTTGTTTAAGATGGAAAAGGAGGAGGTGCAGACTTTAAATTCCATTACTGTCAGAGTAAAATGGATTAAAACATGCAACAAGTGAATGGCACAACAGTTCCCTCTTCTAATGAGTTTGTATTGGGATTCTTTCCCAGAAACTCCTTATCAACCTGCTTCTTGGCATTTCTAGGATTTGATACTTTTTGATCCAAGCACACATAAAATTGAGTTTTATTTAAAAAAATAAATAAAGACACATAGTTGGCAGCACAGTGGTTAAGTTCTCGGCTGTTAACCTTTTTTGGTTACCAGCTGAATGTTTTAACCACTGCACCATAAGATGTCCTTCATTTAACCCTAAGGATCCTGAAACTCCTTCAATCCAGCAATTGTTCAGGCAGTGGAGGGCCTGAAGCCTAGAGTATAATCTTTTCATGTAGTTTTGTGCCTCAGATGAAATTTCACTATACTAAGAAGAGCTGTGCAGCAAAATTTAAGAGATACTCTCTAAAAATGGAGTGCAGTGTTAGAGGTTTCAACATTTGGGCTTTTGTGTCAGCTGTGTAAGGACACACCTCTGCCTGATACCCAGTGGGGTGGATGAAAAGGCATGCTGGCTGTGGAACACAGGCTGCCCTTTGAACAATTCCAGCCTAGTCAATAGCAAAGCCAGGCCTGGAATGTGAACTTTGGCGCCGAGGTGGGAGTACTCCTACACAAATGGTATTCTCAAAAGAGAACATACCTGGGTTGAAATAAAAAATGATGTTTAATAAATCTTGGTCACCCCACGTGATGGCATTCTTGTACTTCTGGTACAAAGGGTACAACATGTCCTCCCAAGCCAGGCCTGTTGGAATCACACTGTTCTGGAAAACAGAAAACCATCAGAGAGGCTGAAGCAAAGCAAATACATTTTGTCCATTATGAAACAATGCAAAGGGACCAGCTTTCCTTCCCCCTTGGGGAATGAAACAAAGAGAGGAAGGGCCCTGCTACCCTCAAGGAATAGGACAAAGCAAAATTAAGGCTACAGATTTAGAGTTTTGCTGAGTGTACCCATGGACACTTGATAGATCAGGAACTAGTAGTGAGGCGTATGGTTTCTACTCAGAAACTCATGCCAGATATTGAACCTTTTCCTATTTATGCTTAATTCTTGTTTCTGGGGTGAGGGAACAAAATGCAGATTGTAGAATGAAGGTAATCTTAAAGGAAAACAGGGGGCAGTGGTGGTCTGTGATAGAATTCTCACCTTCCATGTGAGAGAGCTGGGTTTGATTCCCAGCCAACTCATGCACAGTCACCACCTGTCTGTTCATTGAGGCTTGTGTGTTGCCATGATGCTGAACAGATTTTAGCAGGGATTCCAGACTAAGACAGACTGAGAACAAAGACCTGGTGATCTACTTCAAAAATTCACCTCATGGAAACGTGTGGATCACAATAGTGTGATCCACAACTGACCACGGGGATGGCATAAGACCAAGCAGCATTTCTTTCCATTGTGCTTGAGGCTGGCAACTCAATGGCAGCTAAAATAATTATTTACTTATTTTAAATACTTATTTTGAAAATAACCACACACGGTAAAACTCAAACCACACAGAAATATATAAAATGAAAAAGTAAAAATCTTCTTTCAATCTCCCCTACAATTTCCATTCTCACATTCTCCAAAAGCAGCTACAATTTATAGTCTCTTAGGCGTTCATCTAGAAATTTCTAGATTCATGAAAAGGATCATACTATATAGTATTATACTGTGGCTATATTTTAATTTTTCTACTTGGATATCTTATTTATCACCACTTACGTTGTTGTTGTCTTCTGCTGTCTGAGTAGATGCCAACCTGTGTGTCACAGAGAAGGACTGCCCCACAGGGTTTTCTTGGCTGTAATCTTTATAAAAGCAGATAACCAGACCTTTCTTGGTGACAGTGGGTGGGTTTGAACCATCATCCTTTTCTTGGTTACTGCCCAAGCTCAAATTGTTTGTATCAGATAGACTTACCTAATTCTTTTTAATAGAGGTTACTTTTTTTATAACTTGTACTCTACTAATATTCATTTAGGTTTTTTCCAATTCTCTGCTAAGATAAAAGATGGAGTGACAAACACTCTTGTACAAATATCTCTGTGTACTTATATATCCTTAGGGTAATTCATAGAAATTTTCTATGGTTTTTGAAGCCTGGGATAAACACAGAATTCAAACATTAGAGAACTCAGAAATGCAACATGGTATTCCTAAATGGTAATCCAGCTGAATCGTGAAATTCAAAGACATTTGGGCTTTTCCTGAACAAAAAATTCTATAACTTTCTAAATGCTTTTCTCTCTCTTGGGTCCTCCCATCCTCACCAAAAGGACACACATTTCCAAAACAGCACAAGGCCACTCTCTAGCGTTGTCATTGTTGAAAAGATATAGCCCAAGTGTGATAGTTGGAGCTGTGTGTCAACTTGGCTGGACCCCAGTTCTGTGTGGTTGTTCCCATGATGGAATCGGATGACTGTGTTCTGAGTGGCCAATCTGCCCAAAGGGAGTTTCCCTAGGGGGGTGGCCTGCTTCCAGGATATCCAGGGACATCCTGGGAAGAGAGACATTTTTTGAGGGATTGGAACCCTGGTGTACTGGGTTCCGTGAGTGAGCAGCCCACTGCTTGGCCTGGAGATCTCGGATTCGTCTTTCGTTGGAGTCAACAACCAGTGTATTGCCTGCCAGCCTTGAATTTCTCGGCCCCCTGCGCTTGCGGAAGCTAAGGCTGCCACCAGCCCGACGTTTCCTCCAGGGACTTTGGACTTGCCGGCTTCTATACGTTTATAAGCCATTTTCCTAAGATAAAGTTTTCTCTCTCTCTCTCTCTCTCTATATATATACGCTTTGCTGGTTTTTGTGTTTCTCTAGAGAACCCAATCTAACACACCAAGTTTATAAACAAGGAATTTTAAAGTGTTTCCTTACCTTGAACTGGGTACTCCTTATGCGTGTTAAATTCATTAACATGACTCCTGAATTAACTCCTGCAGTACCATAGAAAGGGTGACGAGCAAAGCGACTGTACCAGCCAATCTTGGGGATTTCATGCTCAGGGGCCATGGCTGCAAGCTGTGTGGAATTAAAGTGCCTCAGAAGCTTCCAGATATCATCAACAGGTCTCAAAAAGAGAACGTCAGTATCCACATAGAGAAGTGAGTCCACATCCTTTAAAATCACCTTTGTATGTATTGGGAGGAGAGAAGGAGAAAACAAAACAACACAAAAACAAGTCAGAAACAAAGGAAGTGGTCTGCTATGTTAACAACGCCACCAATTTTCACAGATTAATGTTGATTTCTAGAAATAGTACTGCCCTTCCTTCCTTCTCATTGGACTTGAGGGATAAGTGTCAATCAAGGGGCCCAGACTTTAAAGGGAGATAAATCTTGATCTGTTGTTGTGTGCCATCAAGTTGGACCCAACTAATAGCGACCCCTCCTTGGGTTTCTGAGGCAGTATCACTACGGAAGTAGATTGCCCCACCTTGCTTCCAAGGAGTGGCTGGTGGGTTTGAACTGCCAGCCTTCTGGTTAGCAGTCAAGTGCCTTAAGCACTATGCTACCCTGGGCTGTACTTCAAGGAGCTGTGGTGGCACAGTGGTTAAAACGGTCAAAAAAAATCAAATCCACTGCTATCGAGTCGAACCCAACTCATAGCGACCCCTGTTGGGTTTCGGAGGTGGTAAATCTTTACAGAAGTAGATCACCTAGCCTTGCTTCTGCAGAGTGGCTGGTGGGTTTGAACTGCCAACCCTCTGGTTAGCAGTCAGATGCCTTAATCACTTTGCTACCAAAGCTCCTTTAAAACAGTCAGCAGCTAACCAAAATGTTGATAGTTCGAATCCACCAGCCACTCCACTGGAGAAAGATGTGGGAGTCTGCTTCTGTAAGGATTACAAAAAACTCTATAGGATGGCTAAGTCAGAATCAATTTGACAGCCATGAGTTACGAGGGCCTGGAATTAATAACTGTTGAATTTTTAAATGGATGAAAAAAAATCTGCATGTTACTGATGTTTTCTTTTCTTCTTCCTTCCTCCGATAAGATCATCTGTCTTTCTTTCTCATGACTAGTTTTTCCCTGGAATAGCCAGGTCTGGCATGAGAAAACTTTAAGTGGACAATCTCTAGACCAGTTCATGTCAGACTTTGGGGTAAACAGTCTCTGTCTTTAGATTCATTTCATGTAGTTTTGATGGACATGGTTCTGTAGCTTTTTGAAATGATATTTGCAGCTAAGATGTGGACTTCAGAAAAGCCAAAGCAAGTCTTTGTAGGTCAGGGATCAGCAAACTTTTTCTAAAAAGGCCAGATAGTTAATATTTTCATAAATACTATTCAAGTCTGCAGGAGCTCTGGTAGCATAGTGGCTAAGGCACTTGACTGCTAACCAGAAGCCTGGCGGTTCAAGCCCACCAGCCACTCCTCAGAAGGAAGGTTGAGCAATCTACTTCTGTAGTGATACTGCCTCGGAAACCCAAGGAGGGGGCGCTATGAGTCGGGTCCAACTCGAAGGCACATAACAACAACAACAACATTCAAGTCTGCAGTTATAGTGTGAAACCAGCCGTCAACAATACATAAGTGAATGAGTGTGGCTGTGTCCAATAAAACTTTATTTAGGAACACTAAAATTTTCTTCTTTTGATTTTTCCAACAATTTAAAATGCAAAAACCATTCTCAGTTCACGGGTTGTAGACTACCATTCTCTGTTGCAGAACATTCAAGTCAGCCACATTAGGTAAATGAGTTCTTCCATACTAACTACTCAGCTTACCAGTCTTTTTTTTTTTTTTTTTTAATTTATTGTGATTTGGGTGAAAGTTTACAGAGCAAATTCATTTTCCATCCAGTAGCTCCTGTACACTTTGTCTCATGACAATGACTGCAATTTCCCACAATGTAACAGCTCCCCTCTCACTTCCTCTTCCCTGTGTCCTTCTCTCCCATGCACTCCAGCCCCCGAGCTATCTTACTGTGCACACACAACCTTTCTATTCTCCCATGATTGATCTCGCAAAGGAGTGTATCTACCTAATGTAAATGTTCAGTTCATGTGTCTATCTTTTGTTGGCTGGAAGCCACAGGAGTGGATTCAATTCCAGACCTAAAGGGCAGGTAGGGGACATAGTCTCAGTGGTTCCACGAGGCTCTATCAGACCAGCAAATCTGCCTCCCCCCCTCCTTTTTTTAAGTGATTTTGAGTTTTGCTCCACATTGTTCTCCAATTCTATCCAGGATCTCCTACATAGATTTCCCTCCAAGTAGTTGACAGTGGTATCCGGGCACCAGCTAGTTCTTCAGCTTACCAGAGTCTTATCCTGGGTTTTGAGTCTTCAAAACCTTAGCTAGTAAAAAAGTGTTACTTGCCTTGTTTTGCCATTGTTCCTTAAATGTAAGGATGGCTTAACCAAAGAAAAGGAGCTCTAGTGGTGCAGTGGTTAATGCTTTCAGCTGCTAACTAGAAGGTCAGCGGTTCAAACCCCTCAGACACTGCATGGGAGAAAGAGGAGGCAATCTGCTTCCATAAAGATTTACAGCCTAGGAAATTCTATGATGCAGTTCTATTCCGTGTTTTAGGGTTGCTAATAAGTCAGAATCAGCTTATGGCAGTGGGTTTAGTTTTGGTAACCAAAGAAAGATTTAGATCTTCCTAGATCCCTGGGCTATCATGATCCTAATACCATAGCAACACTCCATTGGGACCCTCAATATTTTAAACTGATGAGGGACATTTCAAAGGAATTTCAGATTCCAGTCATTTCAAAGCCTACATTATTAGTCACAGAACTTACCTTTATTTCCTCATCTACTGGTGGAATGGATTTTACAAACTAATAAAATGAAATTAAAAATAATGATCATCTACCACCATTATCATTTCATAAAAGAAGATAATTTTCACACCCACTTTAACAACTTGAAGATCCTAATGTCAGAATTAGGATGAATTCTTTAAACTGAATACATTAAACTTTAAACAAACAAACAAAAACCCACCATATTTTCCTATGAAAAGGTAAAAATTTTATCACAGATTAGCACTGTCTGCTGACTATTGTTTTGAAAATTATGACTCCCAAGTCCCACAGAGAAAGGGCAAAATCTCTATAAAAGCTTTAATACATATATGCTATGATTGAAATTATGTACTATATGTAAATACTAGTTAAGATATCTTATACACGTAAGGGTTCAACTCTCTGCCAATCTCATTTCACTGGGAAGGAAAATTGAAGCACAACCAAGTGTTCTGTCCAAGTTCATGTGTCACATGATGTTAGTGATTGCTAGATTTCAGCAAATAAAGTTATAGCAAGATAAAGCTACTTTCTAGGATGTGTTTAACGGAACAAGAGACTGCATGATGTTCCAAAAAAAAAACTGAATTTAGAATTATATAATCAGAGAAGAAGTAATTAATTTAATTGAACAAATGTGGTTACCACTCCTCATTCAAACAAAGAAAACAAAAAGTTGAAGAAGAAAACTAAAAAGACCTGGAGGGTGGAGGAAGTCCATCATAAAGTGACAGTAAAGTCAGTATCTTTAACCAGCAAAGAAAAAGCCAAATGGGCTATATCAGAAATTTATAAAATCAGAATAATCTTAAAGAATAAGTTTTTTACTTAACCAATATTCTACTATTTGACTTGCAGATTGGTTCCATTTTTTAACTATTATAAATAATACTATAGTGGGTATCTTTTTTTAGAGAAATTTCTGAATACACAATACTTTTTTTAAAAATCATTATATATACATGACTTAAAAATAAAAATATATTAAAGCAAATTTATTGATAACTCTTTCTTCCTTTTCCCTCAGTTACCAAGTGCCAAGTGTTGGTTGTTCCATCTCCTGTACTCTAGCTTCCCTGCCAATATTACTGGATTCCTCTGAATTGTGCCAGAGGTATTTTATACATATAAGAATACATAGGTATCCTTATTCAATTTCTCCCTTTTATGCTACAAATGGTATCACAGTACCACATCTCAACCTGCTTTAAAAAAAAACTACACATATGAGATCTTCCTGTATCATTACATAAAGTGTTTATGTTATTTTTTATGCCTATATAGTATTCCATCATGTGGATTTACCATAATTTATCTAGTCATCTAAAGCATAGCATTTAAGTTATTCTCCAGCTGTTGTTATTACAAACAAAAACCTCATTTCGGGTCATTTTAAACACACATGCATGTATCCGTAGGATAAATTCCTAACAATTAATTACTCAGTCAAAGAATATGTGCATTTGTAATTTTGATAGATATTGCCAGACTACCTCCACAGAAGTGGACCAATTTATGCTTCTACTACCATGTAAAGAACATCTCTTTCATCTCATCTTCACCAGTATAGTGTCTGATCAAACTTTTGGATCTCTACCAAAAGGGAGATATATATCAGGTCCTACTCTAACAACTCATTTTGGTTACTAATCACTTGCTAGTCTTACCCTAAGAAACCCTGGTGCAAAGCAATCTACACATTCAATGCAATCCCAATACAGATCCCATCAACATTTTTTAGGGATATGGAAAAACCAATCGCTAACTTTACATGGAAAGGAAAGAGACCTCGGATAAGCAAAGCACTATTGAAGAAGAAAAACAAAGTAGGAGGTCTC